AGAACTGTCCATAACTCCAGTTCCAGGGAATCCAACAGCCTCTTCTGTCCTCTATGGGCATTGCTCAACACGGGTGCACTTACCTACAAGCAAGCAATACACACATATATATAAAATAAAAATAATAAATAAAATATTTCTTAAATGTATAAATAGTAGTTCACTGTTATTAATATCACTTTAAAAGGATTAGTTTTAGTGCATTTAAATTGTTTTAAATGTGAGTCAATCATAAATTCCATATAGCTTAAAAGTACTAGATATCTCCATTTCCAAAAATTATTAGACAGTAACACAAGTATGTAAATAACATTACTTTTAAATAATGAGGGGCTGGTGAGATGGCTCATCAGATAAAGGTGCTTGTTGCCAAGCCTTACACCTGAGTTCAATCCCCAGTGCCTATATAGAAGGAAAGAAACGACTCCCACACGTTGTTTTCCAGCCTCCACAAGTGCACCATGGCACTCATATACCCCCCTCCCCTCCCACAAAATGAATAAGAAAATAATAAATGTAAAAGAATTCTTAAGTGATAAATGCATCTTTGACTACAGAATGGATTGCTAATACAATACAGAGCTAACAGTTTTTCGCTTAAGTAATACCTTTATGCTGCTAACTGCTACAAGTTAAGTTACAGTTTATAATACAAAAGTAATTAAATTTTAAAATAAATTGGTGCATAAATTCTCATTTTAAGAACATATCTGCATAGGAAGCTTCATTTGAGTGATTTTACTGCCTAGCTAAGGTATATAAATATGCTCAAAATATATCTCTGCATACATGGGTAGTCATTTAATAGTAGTCAAATATTTTATCATTATGAGACAGGTGAGAATGTACATGACCTCTGGACCAGTCAATAAAGACCACAATAACTGAAGGCCAGTCTAGAAGAACTGCAGTTTCCATAGCTTTATCAAGTACGTAAAGTGAGTTCCAAAAAATATATACAACACAGCACGTAGTCATTTAAAAATACGTTTTTGCTAATTTATTTTTAAAGATAGTCAAAAATAACTAAATTGCTTTATAATTAATAAAAATAATGGCAGAAGTATCACAGCACAAACTGGGCAATTTTAGAGAAGAGTCATCATACCTTATGAAGCAGACTTTCAACTGCTCTCATGTGATGAGCAACACATTCTTTGTCTCTAGAAGAAAGACAAGATGAGGTGTCATTACAGCAAAGCCTTCTCACAGCTGTCTTTCCATTTTGGTATAGCCACTATTACTGAAAGGGAAAGAGCTGGCTACCACTGTTTTCCCTTTCAAAGCATAAAAGTGAAGCTGGAGAGATGGCTCCGTGAAGGAAGTGCTTGCTGTACAAGGATGAAGACAAGAGTCCAGATCCTCCGGACTCGCACAGAAAGCTGGGTATCGGGACAACCAGCCTGTAGCCCCAGTGCTCAACAAACAGATCGCTAGGGAAACCAGCCAGCTAAAGCAGCCAGAAAGGAAGTGTTTCAGGTTCAATGAGAGACCCTGGCTCGGCAAATAAAAAGGAGAGTGATCATGGAAGACACACGGCATCAACCTATGGCTACCACAAGTACCTCCACAAACGTGTGACTATACATACATAAGCACATCATGCGCGTGCAAAGAAAAGAAAATGTATAAAGCTTAACGACGGTCACCGGTATACTTTCACACAACTGCTTTTTCTTTTTTTCTTTTTCTTCTTTTTTTCCTCTTTTTTTGAGACAGGGTCTCCCTGTAGCCTCAGCTGATCTGGAACTTGCTATGTAGATCGGGCTATCCTCGATCTCACAGAGTCCCTCTGCCTCCCCAGTGCTGGGATAAAGGGTGTGCGCCACCATATGTGGCTACACTTAACTATTATTCACTTCTAATACATATCCTAAACTGGGACAAAGGGATTATAGTTTATAATACTAAAAGAATGAAAAGAAGAAACCATTTCTACTATTCATGATTCTGGAAAAAAGTAAAACATTCTTTAAAGCACATAGGTGGCAAACATTCTAAATGGTAATACAGTCTAAAATAATATTTTCCTTTCTACACAGTCCTTTTGTACTACCATAATTATACAAAAAAAAAAAAACCTCTGTGACCTCTCGAGGAATATGCAGCTACTATTTTCTCCTATTAGCCTTGTATATTGAATTTAGCTTTCATAATGATAAAAACATTGAATGAAAATGCTAAAGACTAAATTTTAAGTCAATTATAAATTGAAAACTGTCTATCATGTATTAACACCCTAAATTTTCAATTAGTCTTTAGTTTTGTAAGATCCTATGCAAGCAGGTACAGACCAGAGCCACACTGAAGCCCGGAGTTAACAGTTGTGAAAACACAGTAAGAATCTGGAGGTTTTGTAATCCTGTTTCCATTCATGTCAGAATCTCAGTGAGCTGTGACACTCACTGGTAAACATCCATTCTACATTTCTTCATTTGATGTGAGGAAACAGAAAATGGCAGCAAAAATCGACTTCATGAAATTTACAGTCTTACAAATTACAGTTACATATATTTAATATGGAGATGCAACGTTAGAGGGCTGTACAAGTTTCCAAAAAACAACTAGTGGATGTTGAAACATGTCAGTATTTGTACTTTGTATCATTTCATCTTCTCTTTATGCTTAAACAATGTCATTAGCCCAGAGGCAATACTTACAGCTCTTCTCTAAGAGGGCAGATGGCCTGCTCTGTGACTTACTGGCTATACTCTGTAGTTTACAGACTGTATTCATATTTCATAGTTTGTATTTAATAAGAGTCTGTCTCAAAAAATTCAGTTAGCATACATATTTTGCATGTGCAGCAACATAAAACTTCCAACTCAAATGCTGACTCTACTAAAATCAGGTTTTTCTTTAATTCTTGGTAGACTTTCTTTAAATTATGCTGTTGAACAAAAGAGATCTTAAGGTAGTTCATGGGGAACAAACGAAAATGTCCTAGAGAACTGCTCAGTTTGAACTTCAAAGTGCCTATCAACTTGGTTACATGGTAAGTTGGAAAAGCATTCTCATCACATTTGCACACCTATCTACTTGAATGCTGTATTTTTTTCAAAATATTTAACTTATTATAACATAGCTATAGAAGCCTAAATGAATTTTCCATGACCAGTATGTTTTAGGTGCATTTTTAAATGCTAATGATACACATGTTAATTGTATACCAACATTTCCTTATGAAAGATTACTTGCAATATTAGTATAATCTACACAAAGCAAAACTGGGGGGCAGTGGAGCAGGTGAGAAGGAAGACATGACAAGAGTCTATGCAAAACTTTTAAATAAATAATCTAATGTCACACATTAATGAAAACATGCTTCAAACATGTAATACTAAGACTGAGCCCCAGATATGCATAATTAGAAGTCATATAGAAGCTCATGCTTTTCTGAGGCTTCTCAATAAAACATATACTTAGTACATTGAGAATTTCTTTTTTGAGGATATATCAGAGAATTTCAAAGAAAGACAGCTGTACTTTTGTTTTCTAACACTGTATTATCCAGGGCTAAAACCCAGAGCATGAAAGCAAGAATTGATCTTTTGTCTGTTTTAAGTGATCTCCCCACGGTCCAAATGCTCACTTGGCTGCCATGCAGAGGGCACTCTCTGCATCATGGATGTTCTCCTCCAGTCGACGCTTGTCCTGCTCCAGCTGGGTAAGATGTCTATTGAGCTGACGCAGAGATTGATCTTTTCTTCTCAGCTCCATCTTTGCCTCGGAGAGACTCTGCAAGCAGACAGAAAACAGAGTCACTTGTCAGCCCTGATAATTAACTTCAATTTATGCCATAGGCTATTAAACAAAGACGAATACAGACTGACTGAGAAGTAGACTTAGGTCATTACACGTTATGGCTTAACAAATTTTCTGCAAATTTTTACATACTTGCTAATTAGAAATGAGAATGATAGTGTTTCGAAAATCGTTTGGCTATAAAATACAACTCTATTTTACTGTTTAAAGTAAGACCAATAAACCAGATTTTTACTTAAAAAATTCTTATTATAGAAATTTTAAGTCATATTTGCTTTTAATGATGAAAAATAAGATTTTTAGAGGACAAAACACATGAAATTTTAATTCTATTTAACTCTAGATAAAACTAAAGAACTACCATGTGCCAAAATTGAGTGTATTGTTGAGGAAAAGGGAACTGGGATACCTAGAGAAGACGGCAAATTCACTCCATTTTTATGACTCTACCTGTGATAGGCTGATACACACATCTCAAGAGACAAATAGGACTGGAAATACTTTTGACTTGCTTCCAAACAAGTAACTTTCATAACAAGGACAGCAGCAAAGTATGATCAGTATGTTTCAACTAATACAGTAAATATTTGCATTTAGAATGACTTGGGGTTTATAAATATTTTTCTAATCATAGAGGTATAAAATTTATGAAATGATAGTTCCTTGAAATCTTGATGTAGCACAAAAATTCCAATATGCAACTGTCCAACTTTATCTTGAAGGGCCAGAGGGGAAGGTACGAGAATCAGAAACAATTTAAAAGAGTATTTTCTAGAGCATGTTTAAAACTCTAGGTTGCAGAATAGTACAGGAATCAGGGGCTCCCTGAACACCAAAATCCTGCGCATTCCTTGTCCTATAAAATTTCTAAAATAAACTTATCAACTCAGTTTGTTGAACAGTGAGCCAAATAGCTGATGACATATATATAGTGTTTTATTCTTTCTACTCAGAGCTTAGCCAGACATTAATATCTACAATTCCCATGAAGAATAAGCAATATGCTACTGTTTCATGTGTAAAACTGTTACTGCATTCACAATATAACATTTAACCTAAGCTGCATACACTAGCTAAAGCAACACAGTCTAAATAATGGTGAATTAAAAACAATCATCAGTCAAATCGCATATTTTTTAATGGAGCAAATTTTTAAATTCAGTATTCATTTTAAAACACTAAAGTTACTGCTACACATATAGAAATCAAAAATTAACAATGCAACAGCAATGTTACTTATTAGCTACCTGAATTAATTTTAAACCTTTAATATTAATAGGGTCTTTAAGAGCATTCCAAGGTTAATCAATGGATACATGATGGTCAGATAGGAGTAAGAGGTTCTAGTGTGCTATTGTATAGTATTGTTACTATAAATAAAAGTAATATATTGTATTTTTTAAAAGCTAGAAAATGAGTTTGAATGGTTTCCCAATAAAGAAATAAAAATTTAATAGGCAGATCTATTTGGTCTGATTTTCTGCATAATATAAATATGTATGTATTAAAACATCACATGGTACAATATGTTATATTTTGTATTTTTAACATTAAAAATTTATCTTAAATATTTGAAGATTATTTCACCAAGGAAATTCACTTATTCAAAGAGCTTTTTAAATGTTATTTTTATGTGTATGAGTATATTGCCTGCTTGTATGTAACTACACCCATGTCATGCAATGCTTGCAAAGGTCAGGAGAGGGCATCAGATTCCCCTGGAACTAGAGATAAGACAGTTGTTAGCTACCATGTGGGTGCTGGGAATCAAACCAAGGTCCTCTGCAAGAGCAACCGGTACTCTTAACCACTCAGGCATCTCTCCAGCCCTCTCCAAGAATTTATAAAGACATGAATGATTTTTTTAAAACATTCTAACTCTACTAATTTTGTGCTAATTTTCAGATATTTTTAAAATATTTTATTATTTTTTATTTTAAGTGTAGGAGTATACTGCCTGCATGTATGTAAGTGCACTCATGTTGTGCATCAGATCCCCTGGAACTGGAGATATGGACAGTTGCTAACCTCCACGCTGAGCACTAGGAACTGAACCCAGAACCTCTTCAAGAGCAGCCAGTATTCTTAACTGCTGAGCCATCTCTCCAGCCCCATGTTCAGATACTTATAGACACTGACGTAGCATGAGGTTCACTGTTTAAAAAAAGTTGTTGGCCAGGATAGATAAAGGCTCTTCTAGACAGTAACCCAACATACTACTGGAAAAATGAACAGCAGACCCCAATTCTATC